AGAAGTGACGGTCTGGCGGGTTTACGTTGTGAGTTCCTGGGCAAACGGAACTTAACTGTTCCTCTGCTAGATCGGCGAAACATACATTCGTTCATACGGCTGTGTATGTATTAAAAGGACTTTCATTTCGTCAGTATTTCTTTATAGATATTTCTGATATTCAACTACAATTAGTTCCAAATCGTAATTGAATTTTCGGCGAACATTTCACGGCTTTGTGTCCTTTAAAGGTTTTTTTCTGTCCGAAATGTTTATCAAAACACCCGAAGCAGCATATTTCTTAAAGACAAGTACCGAAAAGTGAGATTTTAGATGTTAGTTCTTGTGAAAATAGCGTTTTGGGCCTGTTACAACCCACGCCTAATACTTGTTGATAACACGACCTGTGTATTTGACCGGCTATTTGTTCCTAAGGCCAGCACAAAAAAGAACGGAAAAGAAAATCGACCACGAGGAGAGCTGTTATAACCAGCTGGCAAGTCATTCAAATAGCAAGGCGGCGTATATTTATTGATCCGTTTGACGGGAAAGTGTCGGAGACGTGGACCAATCAGATCTGACGAGAAATCGATATCCACGATCCAGGTGTGCGCTCTCATGGCAGGTCGTTTAGCAGCCATGCTTCATTGTGGGACTGGAGGCATTCCTAACACGGACGCATTTCTACGGCAACGGTAGCACAAAAACTTATTGCCGTGACAAGAAGAACATCCGCAACAAAAATTCCCATACCTAAGATCAATTGAAAAAACTATCCAATAATAATTTACCTCTTTAAAAATCACTCTATTTAGCTATTAAGCTGACGATTGTCTGCGTAAGTTATCTTCTTCCAAGGGAAAGAAGCAATTGGGAAATTTGACGAGTTTTTTTATTGTCCTGCAAATACTCCGATAAAAACACTTTACATGTTCAGATCCTCACTTTTATTTTTTAAAGTATTTTCTCAGAAATAAAAGGAAAGTCTCATCTCTCGTAATTAAAAAAAAGATTCCGGTCAACAGAAGTGTCATAGAAAAATCTGAATAGGGGAGAAGGCAGGTTGATTAAAAGCAAAAAACAGCAGCGTGAATGTCATGCTATGAAGTTGAGCCCTGATTTGAGCTCCTTTAGAGATCTGTCTCGAAGAAGGCCAGCAGGCGCTGGAAGACTGTTCCGCGATCCTGCCTCTTCATCTCAGAGTAAGCTCGGCTGGCTTCCCTGGAAAGCGCAAAGCTGCTTAGATGCAGTTGGCGTGCCGTGGGATCGTCCAGTTCGGAGCAGATTTTCTTCGGGACCCAGCCCGCCCGTCCATCTGTCAGGGCACACTTGTACCAACCTACGTTTGAAAAATGTGAGAAAACTGTGAGCGTGGCAAACCGGTAAGGGAAATGTAAGTGAAGAGGAAACGAGAAGACTGGTCGAGCAAGCCAATAAGTTAGCAGCGGGGCTGGAGGTGACTGTGAAGGGCTCTGACTGGGCACCGACTGATTTAGGTGCCGGGGGGGACGAAGCAATCTTACCACCTGGCAGCAGG